GTATGTAATATTAAATTATTAAACTAAATAGCCGCGTTTTTGTATACAAAGAGGATGAAACGGGAAGGCCATTCCTACATACATATGTACACATGCGTGAAACTCCATATATACACATACCTAAATATTCTCAAGTTATTTTTCAAACTCAATTTAAATATTAAATAAACCCACAAGGGGATAAATATTTGCTTTTGATCAGAGACCGAAAATAATTATTATCCTAATATTCAGAATCAAAAACGTCGCCTTGTTTTAAGAGAAATTTTTTTCATCCTTGTATAATAATTATTTACGAGAAATATCTTTTTTCGTCTCGCGGGACGATTATTTCAAGACGAATATATGGGCTTTTTATTTATTTTTCGTCTCGGGACGTTTATTTCAAGACGAATATTATTTACGTCTTCTCATAATAATTATATGGGCTTTTTTATTTTTTTCGTCTCTCAGGACTTTTATTTCAAGACGAATATTATTTACGTCTTCTTATAATAATTATATGGGCTTTTTATTTTTTTCGTCTCTCGGGACGTTTATTTGAAGACGAATATTATTTACGTCTTCTCATAATAATTATATGGGCTTTTTATTTTTTTTCGTCTCTCGGGGCGTTTATTTCAAGACGAATATTATTTACGTCTTCTCATAATAATTATATCGGCTTTTTATATTTTTTCGCCTCTCGGGACGTTTATTTCAAGACGAATATTATTTACTTCTTCTTATAATAAATATATGGGCTTTTTAATTTTTTTCGTCTCTCGGGACGTTTATTTCAAGACGAATATGATTTACGTCTTCTCATAATAATTATATTGGTTTTTTATTTTTTTTCGTCTCTCGGGACGTTTATTTCAAGACGAATATTATTTACGTCCCACATTTTTCTTAATAGAATTGGTACACTTACAGCCGATTTCACGAAATTTTTTAATTGCAATTTAATTGACATTTAATTTAAATTTAAATTTTTATTAAATTTTGCATTTAAGTTTTACTCCTTTCACCAGTACACACTTGGCCTAATTCAATTTGTCTGGCATAAATAAACTAATTCAGCTTCGAAGTTGAAATTTGGCGAAGTCAATCGCCATGGCATTTATAAGAATATGACCAAATTGTGGACCATCGGGCCACGCCCACCTTGACCGCCCATACAACATTATTTATAGCTTTAAAGATTTTCAATGAGAAGTGAGTAAATCTTATACGTATTTATATAAAGTAAAGTTGCAAAAGTGGTGTAACTCATTTACTCAAAAACCTCTGGACCGATTTTGACGAAATTTTGAGAATTGGGAGAAGGTTTAAATTATGTTAGTTCGCTATCCGGTAAATATTAAAACATTAATTCAATTTAGTTAAATTAATTACTTCAATATGGGTATCAATCGAAATGGTGTTGAAAAGGATTTATTTCTAAGCAACATGTGGGAGGGTTGCCATCTGTTTAAAAAATTCAATTGAACATGAACATGGGAGTTAGGTAACTGGAATACGTATCACAATATGGGTGTCATTCGAGGTTGGTTGTAGTCTAAAAATGTGTACACGAAGGCGTAAAAAAATAGGTTTAAGAAAGTTTCACTTTGAAAATTTGTGGATGAGGGCTGCCAACGGTTTAATTATTTAATATCTTTAATGAGTGATTACAATATGGATATCAAACGTAAGAGTTTTAAAAAACTTCATTTCTAAACTATATGCAGGAGCAGGGCCGTAGCCAGGATTTTTTTTCGGGGGGGGAGGGGTGCTTTCTGGCAAACTATTTTTTTATTATCACTTTTATTTCAACACAATTTGATTAAAAGAAAAATACTGATAAAAATAAAATATTTCACACAAACAACAAAAAATATAATCGATAATCGCATGAGGCTTTTGCCTGAAAATTTTAAAATGCACTTAGTGGCATTGTGCTACTATGATAGCTCGGCCCAACTTATGTACAGTAGACTGCATCATTCCCCATACAAGAAAAAATCGGTACTATTCTTCCACTGGAATTATGAAATCTATTATATTTTAAGACTTCTACCAAAATATTTCTGAAAAATAATTAGATTTACGTGAGCTGGACCGATTTGAAAATACCTCCAAAAATTGAGTTTTTTTATAAAAAAAAAAGTTTTTCTTTAATATTTTTTGAAAAAAATTCCCTCAGATTACTAAACAGCTTAAACTTAAAAAATTTGTATAAAAATATTTTTAAAAAATTTTCTACGGAATCATAATATCTAATGAGATTTTCGATGCTGTTTTTGAACTTTTATCAAAGACTGGTTTAAGAAAAACTTGAATAACTCAGCCAAGACCCTACCAATTTAAATTTATGAGGTATCATTGGTAAGGTATTTTCTCACCCTTTGAATTTCTTTGCGAATCAGCTCATTCAAAGTATGAAAGAGGAAGGTAAGATAAACGCGTGTCATTCCATTTTGAGTTAAGATGTGTTGGTATTTGATAAAGAAAACTTTGGGACGTGAATAAGTTTGTTTTGCAAAGAAATAAAAAAGGTGAGAAAATACCTTTCCACTGATACCTCATAAGCAGGGAACGGATTTTATGGAAACTGCCTTTTTTTCTGCTAAAGAGATAGAGTATATTCGATTAAGAATGTCCACGATTTAGCTTTCCCTGATTCCATATATACACATTTGATGTTGCCTTTTTTTGCCTTTTTTAAGATATTTGCTTTTTTTTGCCTTTTTTAAGATATTTGCCTTTTTTTGCCTTTTCTACCTTTAAAAAAGTGATTATAGCATTTACAATTTTTTTTTTAAAGAATACAAAATATACACATGCCCATGCGGGTTATAGAAGCGCAGGGACCTCTTGCCAAATTGGTGTTGGAAAATTTCAAAGCCGTTTTCTCAGCTAACGTAGGCTTGGAGACAATAAGGGGTGTGGATAAAATTGTAAAGGGCGAGGAAAACGCCCTTA